CTCCGCTCCAATAAGTACATGTTCAAGACTTGCAGGTGTTCCCAGTAGTTTAGGTGCTTTACTGGCTCAATGTGAGCCGTAAACGATTTCTGTATTTGTTCCAGCTCCGATATTTCTCCTGCCCTGAACGGGGCCGTCAGCACTGAGCAATATTCTAAGTGAGGGAGCACTAGCGATTTGAAGAGTGTCACCATTGGCATCGTTTCCCTTGTTTTGAAAGTTCTCAATACCCACCCCGTCATCTTCCTGGCTGTCGTGATCTTTGTCTTGTTATGGTCTTTAAAAGAAAGGTCCGCTGACATAATTATTCCCAGGTCTTTTACGTGTTCCTTACGTTCTATTTGGTGACCCTCTTGAGTTTTGTATATAGGGCTCCTTTTGAGTTCATTCTTTCCATACCTAAGCAGCTGGAACTTATCACCATTGAACGTCATGTTTTCCACTGCCCACTGGAAAACCCTGTTTATGTCTTCCTGTACTTTTTCAGTGTCCTCTACCATACTGACTTTCATGCTTATTTTAGTGTCATCTGCAAATGATACAAAAGTATGCCGGGTGTTTTTGTCTGTCTGCTATGAGGATGAGGAACAGCAGAGGTGCCAGGACAGTGCCTTGGGACACAGCTTTTGACCTCGCTGATGCTGGATCTTGCCCTGTTCACTACTACTTTTTGTGTTTGTGTTAGGAAACCGAAAATCCATCTGCCTACCTTCCCCGTAATGCCCATGGCCTTCATTTTATGCGCTATCACTCCATGATCGCATTTGTCAAAAGCCTTTGCAAAATCTGTAAATCACATCTGCGTTTTGGTCATCTTCCAGTGCCTCCGTAATTCTGTCAATGGTTCAGCAGCTGTGACAGACATGATAGTCCTGCTCTAAATTATTATTATAATCAAAAAGAAGTCCTGCTCTAAAACCATGATGGTTCGGGTTATGTTGGTTGTGCTGCTCCATGAAATTTGTAACCTGCCGTCTCATCACTCTTTCGAAGATTTTTATGATGTGAGAGGTTAGGGCTACTGGTCTAATTTTTAGCTAGTGCTCTACTACCTCCCTTGTGCAAAGGAGCTATGTCTGCACTCTTGGAAGAGAAGTTGAAAATTAGTTTAAGAAGCATGGCGTTGATTTATTGATGACTTTACCTGAAACTTTCCTTCTTTTACCTTCTCTAGTGATCTTTGTCTGTGGTCGACTGAAGCTTTTACAGGCGAAAATTTTCGGCAGTAAATATATTTAATTGTAACACAAGTTTTGTATTTATCTTGTCGGTGTTTAATGCCATTAATATGGTAAACCATCCATTAAGTACCAGTCACAAGGTAAGAACAGACTTCCCTGGACGTCACGCTCTGTAGGAACAAACTTTAATGGTATGCCTTCCAGGGATAAAACGCCCTTTTAAACTTCGTCACATCACGATAATAAAGCAAGGGTTTAGATTCTTGGCACTATCAGGACCTCTTCCTCTAACACTGGCCTCAAAATACGATTATATCCACAGGATCTTCGTGTAAACATACTACCAGACAATCTTCAGCTGCGACAAAATTTCTACGTAACACCAGACCGAATCCCTTCAACATTACAATGCGTAGTCCTTCCAGGTAGCAAAACTAGAAGCAATCTAGACATCTTAGTAATCAGTCGCAGATTATAGCAGAGCTATCAATGATTTGTCATTATATACATATGCCAGCGAACACTACTGAAGGAGTTTCATACTTTGTGGTGACAGTGATGTACTATGTAGTGGACAATGAACTATTGCACAAGTTAGTGGGGGAAGGAAGGAGCAACCATGGATCATTGGAACCTCCCAAGGATGAGGGGAAAGATGATGCTACGTAATGCGAGACTACTTTATGAACTTCTAAACAGCGGATCGTTGTTCCATTGAATGGAATTATTATAAAGAGCTAAGCCACAAGGGCTATACAGCGCATTAAAAGGAATGATCTCTATCCTATCCTATCCTCTCGACAGTACGACCTCTGGATCCATCACCAACGTACTATACCCGATTTTTCTCTTATCCACGATTATCAATAATACAATACTGACAAGCTGATGATTTGAACAAGTGCAACACCAGAAAAAAAAAAAATTTCGCCAACAGCGACTATCAGTGCGTTGTAGAGATTGAAAGCAGAAGACTTGACGACACTATCAGTCTTTCAACACTTTTATCTTAAAAAACTGATTGCCTTATCTTCCCACAAGTAACCTTTGCATTTAGTTGACAAAAGCCATTGACTATCTTCAAGACAGATAACTCATTTACTGTAAGCTATTAAGTTCCTCTCCATGTAAACAAGAGAAGGTATTCAGTTATCAAAGCGTGAAAAGAGGATCGAGTATCCCAAAGGATAAACAGGATGACCCGGTCCTCCTGACATTGACACTGAGGAACAAGAGAAAAAAAAAAAAGATTGTGAAGAATCGGCCTTGTTTTTACAAGAAACTCAATATAGATCACTTACACTAGTCATAAAGGTGAACCAGTGTGTCACTTTCCGATAGCAGGATTTGGACATAACCAATTCTAGATTGTACGAGTTTGTGCTAATAAAGATTAGTAAACGCAGGTAATGAGTGACCCTTAACATATGTTCACCTATTTAAAATCCTTAGTTAATACATTTAAGGCTTTACAATATAACTTTTGTCATTAAGTCTGTATCGTCTCCTTCCGCGAACATTGTAGACCTTGGGATTTAACCCCCGAATGGGTATTTTAATTCTAATTTGTCCAAAACAATAGTCTGAACCCACTGTTTTGGACAGTATTGCGGGCCTGAAGACTGCTTCCTGTAGTTGATCAGGCCCTGATCCACCAAGAGGCCTGGTCACAGACCGGGCCACGGGGTAGTTGACACCCGGAATTGTCCAGGTATACACTAATGGCATACCATAGATGTGGAAAAAATTTCTGTACCCTCATTGCTGAAGAAAGTCCACTAGACAGGCTTTCCCCCCCCCCCCAGTCTAAATACGGGTAATTAGCATTGAATACAGAAGTATCCACCAAAAGGGTAACAATTTTCCTCACTGTCTCGGGTGGTCTTCGACCAGTGTCTGGAAACTATTCCAGTCCTCGAGGGACAGACCAAGACCGACACTAGGAAAGTTAAACCTGTGCAACATCTGGGTATGCAATTTTAGTTTCGCCATCCAGTGGTTATCAATACAAATTCAAGGACATGACTGGAAGACGGAACTATACAAAAAACGGGGGTAATCAGTCCCTCGGCCTTTGAGTTGGTGTTAAGAGCACACCAACTCCAAGACTGAGGGACTGATTACCGCATCTTTTGCCTAGTTCAGTCTTCCAATCAGTCTTCCAATCATGTCCATGAATTGGTATCTATCGATACCAATTCATGGACATGATTGGAAGACTTCCAATCAGTCTTCCAATCATGTCCATGAATTGGTATCGATAGATACCAATTCATGGACATGATTGGAAGACTGATTGGAAGACTGAACTAGGCAAAAGATGCGGTAATCAGTCCCTCAGTCTTGGAGTTGGTGTGCTCTTAACACCAACTCAAAGGCCGAGGGACTGATTACCCCCGTTTTTTGTATAGTTCCGTCTTCCAGTCATGTCCTTGAATTTGTATTGATAACCACTGGATGGCGAAACTTCTACAGTAAAGATACCCAGATGCTGCACATGTCTAATTTTCTTAGCGCGAGTATTGTGTACCATACGTGTACAAAACAAGACGCTGATTAATCTATATTGTTTAGTTATATTTTCACCCTTCAGATTATAACCATAGGGGAGCGCTAAACCCGTAGGATTATATCGCGCCTGTAAAGGGGGGGGATGTGGAAGGTATTCAGGATTAATTCGGAGAACAGATCCAATTCCCTAGATCAAAAGCCCCTCACCAGCGTCATGGAACCTCCCACGAGAGGCAGAATATCAAAACTAAGCGATAAACCACACGTTAGGACAGTAATGTGTTACCCAGGAGAAACATTCTAGCTAAGAGTAGTATTGCTGGAGACTAGCGACCTTTGTGATGAATGGTTTGAAAAACCGACAAGTTGAAGATTGAGAGACTTGTGCAGCATATGGGAATCTTTATTCAGGAAACGTTTCGGTGAATAAAGATTTCCATATGCTGCATAAGTGTCTCAATCTTCAACTTATCGGTTTTTCAAGCCATTCATCACAACTGTCAGACACTGCAGCATCATGGGATTTTGTTACAAAGAATTCTTCAACACTTGTTCAACCTTTGGACGAAGACCTACTTCGACTAGTGGATGCTACCACTATGACCCCGCCTCCACCTGCTTCACCTCCTCACTACAGTATATAAGCCACGTCTACGGCCCTATGCTGTACATTCTACAAGATTGATGGACTGAACACATCGACTCCAGGTTGAGGGACTGATTACCTCATTCTCCTCCTCTCCTTACGCCTTCCTCTTTGTATTGGACTGATGAAGCCACTGTGTGGCGAAACGTTTCCTGAATAAAGATTCCCATATGCTGCATAAGTGTCAATGTTCAACTAGCGACCTATTATGGAGGTTCCAGCGGCCTGAACGTGCCACTGGAAACAGTTTACCTGGAGAGTGTTCCGGGGGTCAACGTCCCCGCGGCCCGGTCTGCGACCAGGAGTTTTCGCTAGGTTAAATTTAGAGAAACTGTATAAATAATTAATGTATAAATAATTTAATTAGGCGAAGACTTTCCATAGGAGTCTTAGAACCTGGGAAGTTATCGGGTTCGATCCAAGGAGAAAACTCCAATTGCTTTGATGAAGAGCCTCACCTGTTACCCCACTTAAATGGTACTAGGAAACTTTGAAATTCATGGGAAAGTTAAACCCCTATGGGTTTACAGCTCCCTTAGGGCCTATCAGGGTCTGCCCAAGGAATGGACAATACAATATCTTGGATCAAAAGTAGCCAACAGCAAGGAGTTTTGAGGGATACAAGTTATATACCAAATGTCAGGTCATAAAAAAAAATTAAAACTTCATAAAAAATTTATTAATGACAGGTGTATAAATGACCAATATTTCGCAAAATATTGAGTAAATAGGAAAAAAATAAAGTTTAAAAATTAAAAATTTTGAAAGATTGTGAAAGTGAAATTGACCAGGGAGGGGACTTAAAAGTTTTGGAAGACAAAGCTTAAAACTTCAGAACCAGCTGGTAGTGAACCAGCTGGTAGTGAACCAGCTGAACTACAGAGCCAGCTGGAGCCAGTTGCTGCTGGAGACAAGTCTTTAGGGTAGTAGGCCTCTTCGAAACTGGAAGAAAAAACAGTACACCAAGAATTATAGTGCGAATTGAAGATCGCAGCTTACATTAGCACTTAAGATTAGAATTACTTTTACGTATTAAGTAGATTAAGTGGCAAGCAAGAATCTGAAATTAGTTAAGTATTCACAGGCAAGATTACTCTTAAAGGCCGCCAGATCATGATTGCTGCGCAGTTTCGAAGTTACATGTTTGGGTTTTAATAGTCTGTACATCAGGGAGCAGAAGTAAATCTTGCTTCAGTGTCCTAATTGAAGACTGATGAAACCTTAGCTGGCCGGAGGCGCTGTATGAAATACTCACCTTCAGATGCTCCAGTATATTAAGTATGTTCGGCTTTAAGTGTGTGTGCCGCCTCACCGTTCCTAGGCTCGCATCTCTTAGGCACTTCTGTGATATGACAAGTACCGTCTGGTCTGAACTCAATCGCTAGTCCCTCTGGATACACCGACACCACACCCTCGCAAGTCATTTGTAACAGTTCAGTGGCAATCTTCACACCTTTAGCCTGCAACTTGGCCAAGCCCTTCTGTAGTAAGTTCTTAGCGCCGCCAGGTTCCGCCATCTGCCGAAGACCACTGTCTACCATATCTTTCACACTTCTTGAACCCCCAACCTTACGAACTCTCCTCTTCATTGCTTTCTTAGCTACTTTCTTTATAGCAGTCTCCGCCACCACACCCGCTATTTTGCCAGCAACTTTCATTAGATCAACAGGAGCCATGATTACCAGGTACTAGTCCGGAAGCCCTAGACAGATTTCAGATACAGTCTCAGGCCAGTTTATTTTGGTTCTGGTACAAGTGTCCCACCTGAAAGTAAATAATTCTTACCAAGGCTCCTGAAAAAAAAAAAAAAAAAAAAAAAAAAAAAAAAAAAAAAAAAAAAAAAAAAGACTGATTTACACAATTTATATCAGACGAAGTATAGCCAAGACATTTTTTTGAAATTTATAAGACTTAGTAAAAAGAAAAGTGATAATACAATGGTTGCTTTTGTAAAATATCTTTTTGGTAAGTAGTGATTTTGCAGACTACCCAAGAAAATCCTGGAGTTCGCAAGGGTTTTTTTTTTTTTTTTTTTTTTTTTGTTTTTTTTTTATTTAAACTAAGTATTTCTTAATGTTCTTGTGGTTTAAAGCTGACAATAGCTACAATCAGGGACAGATTTAATCCCCCAGCAGTGTACATTGCTTAAAAACTTAATGATTTACTGTACGAGAAGGGGATAAAGAGGCCATTATAACTGATCAAGCTTCAGTGCCCAAAAGTATAAATCTGCTACTGATTAGACTAAGCATTTTAGTGGAAAACAAATTGAAGTAGCAGAGAATTAAAGTTACATTATATAAACTAAACCCACAAAATGTCTGTAGAAGACTCACAAAAGTCAACCCTTCACTAAACCCTTTCAACGGTATATTTACCAAGGTTTAACTATATTAAAAAAAGGGACCCAGAACGGACAAAAGTCACCGACACTTTTTGGGTTACCTTCTGTAATTAACATTACGATAATCGTGCGAAACCATACACGAAATAATTCACCAAAGAATTTCTCCAAACAGTTCAGATATGAGAGCCACGGACGCCACCTTGTTCTTCTACGTACACACTAAAGTACCAACTATCAATCACCTGACTACAGCTTTTCCCGCCAAATTACCTTACTAACAAAAGTTTCTCAGATTCAGGAGTGAAAATTCTCCTATGTGATGCCAGAAAACAAGACATAATATTCTGTTTTTCTAGGGATAAAATACATCTCAGATCGTGTGGATAAAATGTATATTTCTGGCTCTGAAACCCAGGGATAATATTACGTAAATATTGTTCCTTGATGTCTGTTAGGAGAGTGTGAGCTGAGTAGTACAGCATTTAGAAACTAGATGGTGCTGGAGACCACTATTAAATTTCAAGGAGGGTTCCTTGACACTGGTAAGGGGTTCTTGACCTAGGGTATTGGATCTGTGCTCCAGTTCCCTGAATTGAGCCTGAATACCTTCCATCCCCCCTACATGCGCAGTATAATCCTACTGGTTTAGTGCTCCCCCATAATTTTTTTTTATATTTTATTGAAAAAGACACATTACAAGATATAAATAAATAAAAGAACACAATAATTAGCCACTTGCGAATACAATGATCTAGTGTCAACCCCCATCAGACCCCAAGTGTTACAATTTTATCGTATTAAAGAGTAAACTATCACCTAACAATGAAAAGAGCATGATAATACCTGTAAAGTAAAAGGACACAAGTGCAACTAATGTGACATTTATTGTGGCAACGTTTCGCTCTCCAGGAGCTTTATCAAACCATTACAAACAATACATGGACACAGAGGGTATATAAATGTCACATTAGTTGCACTTGTGTCCTTTTACTTTACATATTATCGGTAATTCTACCAACTTTATTACATGATAATACCTGCTCAGAAAATACACTAACAGAATCTAAACCTACAATACACTCCTGTTACACTGTACAATAAAACCCCCTTGTACAAAGCACACAGAAGATATGATAAACATAGGAATAAAAACATTATACATTACAATAATAAAACAAAAGGCAAACCTAAGCCTTCAATAAAATTGCCAAGACATACCACCATAATACGTCCCGCAAAGTGCTGGAAGCGCCTAACAGAGCTCCAGCACGGAACAAAACCATTAACACAAAGTGCTGGAAGCGCCTAACAGAGCTCCAGCACGGAACAAAACCATTAACACAAAGTGCTGGAAGCGCCTAACAGAGCTCCAGCACCGAACAAAACCATTAACACAAAGTGCTGGAAGCGCCTAACAGAGCTCCAGCATGGAGCAAAACCATTAACACAAAGTGCTGGAAGCGCCTAACAGAGCTCCAGCACGGAACAAAACCATTAACACGAAGTGCTGGAAGCGCCTAACAGAGCTCCAGCACCGAACAAAACCATTAACACAAAGTGCTGGAAGCGCCTAACAGAGCTCCAGCACGGAACAAAACCATTAACACAAACAAAGCTTACAATTTATGTCAGCGCTCACACCAACCCCCCACTGCTCTGTTAAATAAGACCCTTGCACAAGTTGCACTGTAAATATCACACAACCTACAAAATTTAAAAAAATACAGAACATAAAACGTTAGGCAAAAGCCTATAATAAACATTACATTAGGGCATTTCACAATGAAACCCCACCTAAACATTGGGCAAGACACATCCGCAAGTAAAAAATTTAACATTATGTATACAAGTACAATCCATACAAATAACAAAATCCTATCGTAAGGTATCAAAACGATCTAGTTACAGTACATTAAAACCTTATTTCCCTATTTGAAGCACAAAATACATCATGAGAAGTTATATAACAAGCCTAAATCTGGCATTGAGTAACATTAACGTAGAAAAAAAATACAAAACACGTAATAATTAAAGATTGTGATAGTAGGTTCATATACATATATCCCAGATTATATAAGCCATATGAAGGCTGATACCTTTTAAAGAACCATACATCAAGTACATACTTTTTTTAATATGCTTGAGCTAAGCCAAGCATTAACAGGATATATACACTTATGACCGTCACGTTCACCTATTAGCGATACACGACAGGCCATTGCTTGAGATTATCTCATGCGTCGGTGTTCGACATTTATCCATTATCAGTATCACAATAACAATACAGTTATCTTAAATGTCGACCCTAAGGTACATCAGTGTATAACTAATAGCGACGAGGGTCGCCGACGTATGCCAGGGATTGCTCAAACCTCTATAGTTTCAATATCTAACATTAAGGCGTCATCATACTGACGACAATATTACTATAGCATGTGTAGATTCTGCTACACAAATGATGTGTATTATAAAAGGTTAACGTACATTTTATTCGATCTATTCACTTGGCAAACAATATAACATAATTTTTTTTTTCAAAGCCCCGGTTCGTTCTCTTTCATACCTTCTAGACCTTACATGACCTTACATGACCGCCCCTTCCCAATGTTTCATCATTATTCCTCACCATTTCGAATCCAACCGTCACTCTCGCTCACACATGAAAAGGCCAGCCACGTCTACCCTCTATGGTACTAATGCCCATAAATCACGAACGCATTCGTCTCTCAACCCTTGAGTAGGGAGGACGTGTGCTGCTGCTACCCCCTGGTGTTGACTGGGTGCAGTAATATTTTCACAACATGGCGCAGGCTTGTCGCCGGCGGGTTAATACAGTCTGTATTGAATTAACCAGTGGAGCTATCACGGGGCCGTCTATGGAGTTACTTCTACCAGCAATAATTAGAGACACCTACGGCGTAGCTACTGAAGAGATTTGTGGACTTGCCTTGAATGGCACGAAGAGGATATTTCTTAAATTCAATTCGGCGAGTATGTATGGGACAGTGGTGAACAAGCTTCAGGAAGTGGCCATACCTGTGAATCATGCTGTCACGGTGAGGATGCATGATGTATCAAGTTACTTCACTTGGGTGAAGATCAGGAATGTGCCATTCGAGGCGGATGCATCTGACATAAGGTTTGCCATGAGTAAATATGGAATGGTACACACGGTCACTGCAGGAAGATGGTCAGCTGGTATGTATATGGGGATACCTGAGGGTACGTACTCTGCAAAGATGACGATACGACATCCAATACCGTCGTATGTGGTGATGGAAGATTTCAGAACTCAGGTATTTGTGACATATGCAGGGCAACGACCCACTTGTCATTTGTGTGGGTCGTATGAACACCTGGCAGCGCAATGTGGTAGAGGACGTGGAGACAACGACCTGCAACAACGAAGAAACATAGAAGTGAGGAGAGTGGAGCAAGAGCAGCCTTTTTCGACACTGACTCCGCAGAGTGTGTCATGGAGTGAGGAGGTTGAGAGGGCAGAGAAGATGGCAGGTGCTACGAGTGGGGGGGACTCCCCTTCTTTGGACGTGGTTCAGGCATTGGAGGAGATCATCGCGGAAGTGAATGATAGCAAGGAGGAAGCATCGATAAGGACGACGCTTGTGGATATTTTGGGCGTGATTATTTGGGAGTGATTATGTCGGAGGATCTCACCTTCAAGGACCATAACATTGTATCAATCGCATCTGCTAGAAAAATGACAGGATGGATAATGAGAACCTTCAAAACTAGGGAGGCCAAGCCCATGATGACACTCTTCAGGTCACTTGTTCTATCTAGGCTGGAATATTGCTGCACTCTAACAGCACCTTTCTAGGCAGGTGAAATTGCCGACCTAGAAAATGTACAGAGAACTTTCACGGCGCGCATAACAGAGATAAAACACCTCAATTACTGGGAGCGCTTGAGGTTTCTAAACCTGTATTCCCTGGAACGCAGGAGGGAGAGATACATGATTATATACACCTGGAAAATCCTAGAGGGACTAGTACCGAACTTGCACACGAAAATCACTCCTACGAAAGCAAAAGACTTGGCAGACGATGCACCATCCCCCCAATGAAAAGCAGGGGTGTCACTAGCACGTTAAGAGACCATACAATAAGTGTCAGGGGCCCGAGACTGTTCAACTGCCTCCCAGCACACATAAGGGGGATTACCAACAGACCCCTGGCAGTCTTCAAGCTGGCACTGGACAAGCACCTAAAGTCAGTTCCTGATCAGCCGGGCTGTGGCTCGTACGTTGGTTTGCGTGCAGCCAGCAGCAACAGCCTGGTTGATCAGGCGCTGATCCACCAGGAGGCCTGGTCACAGACCGGGCCGCGGGGGCGTTGACCCCCGAAACTCTCTCCAGGTAAACTCCAGGTAAACGGGGCCTTATCAGGAAGAAGGCACGGTCCTGGATCTTGAGACTACTATGGAGGACGGAGGAGCGAAGGTAGTTCGTCCTAAGGTGTGTGACAAGGCTGTCTTGTCGGTGAATACGGTGGAGGTTGAGGTTCATCGTGGTGATGAGCTTGACGACGAGATGCAGGTCGACGGTACGACGCGAAAGAGCGCAGCATTGCTTTATGATTCAGATGAAGTGCTTATGCCCACACAACGTTCAGGGAAGAAAACATGGGCGGATGTCATGCAGAGGGGTTCAAAAGACACTCAGGGACAGGGATCGAGTAAGAGTGCACAAAAAGGGGGGGGGGAGGGATAAGAGTGCAATGAGGCGATCAGGTGACAAAAAGGTTGCGTCAAGAGGGAAACCACCTTTGTTGGTTTTAAGTGCTTGACATTGAACATCAATGGTTTGAGGTCGCAGAGAAAGTGTGAGTGGTTTAGGGAGTTTTTGGAGCGTCATGGTGTTGACGTTGTGTTCTTGCAGGAGCATAATTATAGACATGGTTATGAGTTGAAGGTGGAGGGATATAAGGTGTATGTTGAACATGCAGTCAGATTGAAAGGCGGTGTGGCTATATTGGTAAAGGAAACTAGCCCGTTGGTTGTCAGGCATTGTGAAGGGGGGGAGGGGAGGGTGATACGTGTGGATGAATTATGGGGTCAGGTGCAGATGACGTTGGTGTGTGTGTATGGACTGGCAGAGGGTGACGTACACATTAAGAATAAATTTGTGAGGGACGTGCTGGTTTACTACTTGCGTGGATTGCCAGAGGTAGCCATGATAGGAGGTGATTGGAACTGTGTGATAAGGC